TTATTACAAATAAACAACCATAGACTAAAACTTAGTAAAAATAAGTATGAAGGACATTGTTGTTTTTTAATACATCATTCTCATTTTTGTAAACCTGAAAAGTTTTGTTTTTGAAATTGGAAAACAGTGAAGTAGAATTATAATTCGTGTACTATAATTAAAATTGTCTGATAACATTACATTGCATTTTGTAATTTTACAATGAAAATTGTAAAAGTAAAAAAAGCTTTTTAAATTTTTTATGAAATTATTGTAATATAAATGACAATATTTTTTTGTGATTTTACATACAATACCGAATCAGATCACAAATAATGTTTGCAAAATAAAAAAGCTTTTTCTTAAAAATTGACCAACGGTTCTGTAATATTACAATGCATAGTAGGTTAATACAAGAAGATGGTAAAATTACAATAAATCTTAGTAGATTTCCTGACAGGTGTTGGAAAATTACATGAATTGTATTTTATTTCGCATTGCTATACACTGATTTGTAATTTTACAAGTCATTTGTTTTGTAATATGATTGTAATTTTACAAAAATTTTTAACAGTGTAGGAAGATAAAAAATCAAAAAACTTCTATTTCAGTCAATCAACTTTCGTAGAATACGTTAATAATAAAATAAAAATTTTCTGACGAAGGCTTTTAAAGATATTTTAATTCAAAAGATGAGAAATTCACGATAATTTCAGGCCGACATATTTAAAAATAAATAAACCACGTGATTCAGCGCAGTGTGGCAACGTTGCACAGAATAGAACGCGCGAATTTTGAATTTTAATAATTCCTGTGTAATTTATGGGTTATGTTTTTCAACTCAACACTACACAGTGAGATAAATATAAACAGCTGTTAAGCGCGGTGTTGTCAGGTCCGAGTTTTGTGAAAAAATACTTGAGTCAAACGTTGACTATTTTTAAATTATTTTAATTAATAATAATGTAAGGTAACAATTAAATTATAGTAATGAATTTTCGTATTCAAATTTTTAATTTCAATAAAAAAAAAAATTTAGATTCTACTATGACTTACAGGGTATTGTCCGTGCAACCTTAAGCTCTCGGAGTTCAAAAGTCTGATAAAAGGTTAATAAAACACTATTTTTTGAATTTTCAAACCACAATAACTTTTGAATTAATGAACCGATTTTCACGCGGTTGGCGGCATTCGACGCAGTTTTTCAAATTATATGATATATTTTTAAATACAAATTGATAATACCGAAAGTTTCAGTGTAATTCGAAAAAAACACTTTTTTTTTATTTCTTTCGTCAACGATAACTCACAAACGAATCAACCGATTTTGACCAAATCGGTGGCGATCGACGTGGTTTTTTGATGTTAAGGGCTGATTAGTTTTTGGAATTGATCGGTCAAGCCGTTTAAAAGTTATTAAAAAAATTAGGAAAACAGTTGACCCTGAAGGCCATCCCTGCAACTTCCCGCCAATTCTATACCTAAAAGCTTGAAATTGCACTTATGACGTTTTAGAGCTCTGCGAGCTACTAAATACAATTTGTGTGTTATTTTGAGATCTCCGAGCTCAAAAAATAGCTGTTTTATGCTTTTGAGCTTTTCGAGCTCAAAAGTGTGATAGACGTTTGATAAAACACTATTTTTAACTTCCCGCTAAGAAAATTAAAAATTTTCAAAAATCGGGAAGTTATTTATATTTGTTAAAAATGCTAGCCGTAAGATGGACGGTGTGGCTTAATGTATATAGAATAAGTGAAAGGAAATTTAATATAGACCGGATAGCTCAAATGGTAGAGTAGCCGACATGTCGTCGGAAGGTTCGGGGTTCGAATCCCAGTCCGAGCTATCTAATAATCTAAAATATAAGCTAATATATTTTAACAAATATAAATAATGCTGTAAAGCGGAAAAGAATAGGAGTTACGGATAATTAATACGTGAAGCGTTCCAACATTCACGTAACAGGATAATTGATAGGAAAGGATTGAGAAA